TCTTTTCCCTGAAAAATTGGTTTGTTGTTGTTGTTGTTAAGTGCCATGGAGTCAGTTCTGACTCATAGTGACCCTGTGGTATTAGGGTTTCAAAGGAGCTGCTGGTTAGTTTAAACCACCGACCTTCCATTCAAACTGACCTTGAGGTAGAGTGCTTATCCTATAGTGCCATCAGAGCATTATTTTCTTCCATTATGCTTATGAGTTACCCTAAAGAAAGATGTCACACAATAAGTTCATCATGATTTTCCTCCTTAACTATTGTCCCTCCTACTTGATTATTGACTTTAAGGGCAATCAGAATAACTTCTACCCACATAATTTTTAAAACTAGGAAGAGTGAGAATCCAACCAGCAGAATCAAGTCAATGAGTCTTTTCAGGATTCATGAGTGTTCTATAAAATAATCATGAGTGTTCTATAAAATAATCATGAGTGTTCTATAAAATAACCAAATCAAATATGAGTCAATAAAAAAATATTAGCTACTATTGATAGAAAGATATTAGCCACTATTGACAGAGTCCTGGTGTAGCCCTGTGGGTTAATGTGCTGGACAGCAAGGTTGGTTTGAATCATATGGTCAGTGGTACAAACTCACCAGCCATTCCTTGGAAATTCTATGCAGGGTCGCTATGAGTCAGAACTGACTCAACAGAACTTAACAACAACAACATTGACAGAGAATATTCTATGTGTCAGTTTCTTTGCATATATTATCTAGCTTAATTCTAATTCTTTGATAAGGCAGTCCTATTTATCCATTTTACAAAGGGGGAAATAAAGCAACCTATTCAAATGTGATCAATACACACACACTCATATAACATACATATATATATTAAAAATATACATAAACACCAAATGGTTTAAAATTAGGAAAGGTTTGAGCCATGGTTGTATGCTTTCACCATAACTATTCAATCTGTGTGTTGAGCACGTAATCCAAGAAGATGGATTATGTGAAGAAAAACATGGCATCAGGATTAGAGGAAGTCTAAACAACCTGTGATAGGCAGATGATACAACCTTGTTTGCTGTAAGTGAATAAGACTTAAAATACTTACTGATGAAGATCAAAGATCACAGTATGGGTTGCACCTCAATGTAAAGAAAACAAAACTCCCCACCACTGGACCAATACACAACAACCATATCAATGGAAAAAAGATTGAAGTTGTCAAAGACTTTGTTTTTCTCAGATCAACCATCAACACTCATGGAAACAGCAGTCAAATCAAATGATGTTTATTGCATTAGGCAAATATGTTCCACAAGACCTCTTTAAAGTATTGAATAACAAAGATATCAGTTTGAAGATTAATGTGCACCTGATCCAAGCTATGGTATTTTCAATAACCTCATATACATGTGAAAGTTGGACAGTGAATAAGGAAGACCATAGAAGAATTGATGCTTTTGAGTTATGGTGTTGGAAGAGAATATTGAAAGTGCCATGGGCTGCCAGAAGAACAAACAGATCTGTGTTGGAAGAAGGACAGCTAGGATGCTCCTTGGAAGCAAGGATGACCAGACTTCATCTCACATCCTTGGACATGTTACAGGAAGGACCAGTCCTTGGAAAAGAATATTATATTTGGTAAAATGGAGGCCTGGATAAAAAAAAGAAGACCCCCAATGAGATGGATTAGCATAGTGATGGCAGCAATGACTCAGGCTTAGCAATGAGTATAAGATTGGCGCAGGACCAGGCAGTGTTTTGTTCTGTTGTACATAGGATCACTATTAGTTGGTGCCAACTCGATTGCACCTAACAACAGCAGCAGCAACGGTGCCTATGATATCAAGGTTTATTCATTCCATTTCATTTTTGACTACTTCCATTTTTCCTAGAGTCACACTGTACAAACCATGTTTTGAATTTTAATGTTTACCTCGGTTTCACTTCAATTTGAGCTGTGCACCATCAGCAAATGAATGTTCTAAAATCTTAACTTCATTTATGTCTTCACGGTCAACTCTGTTTTGGGGAGGCAGCTCTTCGCCAGTTGTATTTTGAGTACCTTCCAGCTTGCTGGGCTCATTTTCCGTTACTATATCTGACAGTATTCTGGTGCTGTTCATAATGTTTCAATATTCAGTATTCTGGTGCTATCTGACAGTGATCCACTGCTATTCATAAGGTTTTCAGTGACTAAATATTCAGAAGTATTCTGTCTCTCTTCCTTCCTAGTCTGTCTTCATTTGGAAGCTCAGCTGAAACCTGTCCACTGTGGGTGAACCTGCTGGTATTTAATACATTGGTAGCATAGCTTCAAATCACAGCACATGCAAGCCACCACAGTACAAAAAACTGACAGACTAGTGTTGGAATATTGCTGATTGGTGACCCCAAAATAAGTAGCTCTTCACAGGTGAAAACATAGTAACTAACCTGAGAGATAACATCATTAGGTCCTGGTATTTAATACTAATTCTTCCTTGTTTCCCAAAGCATCTTGTTAGTTTGACTGTAAAATATCTTCAATTGTTTGTGATCTCACTGCAAAGCAAATACTGTGAGGGTGGAGGTAGTTTAGTCTTCATAACTTCTGCTTTTAAATATTCTACTATTTTCTTCCCTTCACTGGCCTTACTTTATCTAGTATAAAAAAAAAAAATTTAATTCCTGCCACTTTTTGTGTGCTAAGCATTGTAGCAGATTTTTTTTTTTTTATGTTTATGTCATAAAATCAGGAAAATTTTATCATGTTTTCATACATGAAGGATCCAAGAATCTGAAAAGACAAATAACTGTCTAAGAACATACAGAGAATAGTAGACTGTGAAGCGATTTAAGCAGGTAGTGAAATGACTTGATGTGTATTTTGGAAGATCTCTGTGGCTGCTTTTTCATTGGCTTCCAATTGACTTATCAGAGTCCCGTTGAGCTTTCTCCAGGTTCCTTCTGAGACCTCACCTCATACATACACTTCATTAATTTTCCTCTAGTCATCCTGATTGCCTTTCTGCCCTTTAAACAACCTACCATCATTCCTGCTTTAGGAATTTTATAGATGCTCTTTTCATGCCTTAGAAACTATCCTATGTCAACCGCTGTCAGTATTTTTTTTTACTAATGACACATTTTGTGGATTGAATTATACCGCCCCAAAATTTATGTTGAATCCTAATTCCTATAATACCACTGGATGTGATTCTATTTAAAAATAGGGTTTTATTTGTTATGTTAGTTAGATCATATGTAAGTCAGGTGGGTCTTTAACTTACCCTCTTCTGAGTTATAAAAAGACCAGAATGAACACAGACACAGGAGAAAAGGAAGATGGTGACATATGTATGTACAAGCCCAGGAACACCAAGGATTGATGGCAGCTACTCGAAACTGAAATAGGTGATAAAGGACTTTCCATAAAGCCATATCCTAAATTCAGACTTCTAACCTCCTAACCTGTGAGAAAATAAGTTTTTGTTCTTTAAAGTCTCCCATTTGTGGCATTTATGTTATGGCAACATTAGGGTACTAAGGCAACCTGTTTGATGTGTGTAGCCCCTCCTTGAGGCCAGAAACTTGATCTTCATCTCATTCTCTTCTGTATCACTAGAGCCTAGAACAGGTACTCAGTGTTGTTGTTAAGGGCTGTTGAGTCAGTCCTGACTCATAGTGACTTGGAAAGTATAGGCTTTCCAAGGAGCAGCTAGTGGGTTTAAACTGCCAACTTTGTGATTAGCTGTCCAGTTCTTATCCAATAGCACCACATCAGCACTCCAGGTGCTGAATAACTATATATTAAAGAAGGGTCATGGTTTAAACCCAAGTTTCTCTGATTCCAAAGCCTACATCTTTTACACGGATGCTGTATTGTTGCTCCTCATTCACTATACAAAGGGGCCTGTCTCAGGTACCAAGTGTTGTGCCCTCAGAACTACATATACGTGGAGAAGACACATTTTACTATTTGCAGAGTGGACCCCTGAGAACCAGTAGAAGATCTGATTTTTCATTCTCTCCCGGGAACCTTGGGGTTTGGTTAGCCAGATTACCATTCAGGTGATAGAAACTATTCATCAAACACAGCTTTGCTGTCCAGTAAATGCTGTAACCACCAGCTACAGTTGACAATCAAAATTTAAATTTAGGCCAATGAAAATTAAATACAACTAAACACTTAATACTGTTCATATTTCAAATGTTCCAGGTTGCAATGTGGTGGTGGTGACTGTCAAGTGCAGTCAAATAGGCTATGACTTAGAGTTGACCTTGTGTAGGTTTTATGAGGAACAGCTGGTTTGAACCACTAACCTTTTGGTTAGCAATCCAGTGCTTAGCCTACAGCATCACCAGGACTTGTGAGTGTTAAGTGTCATTGAGTTGGTTCCAACTCATAGCAACCTGTGGTTTCTGAGGAGTGGCTGGTGGGTTTGAACCACTGCCCTTGCAGTTACCAGTCCAGTGCTCATCCTACAGTGCCATTACAGGACCCCGGACTTGTGGTTAGTGGTTGCCATATTGGATAACATTCTTGTTATCATAGAAAGTTCTTTGGACAATGCTGTTTTAAAGTGATAAGAGCTGTGGGGTTCAGAGATTTACATGTGAAATAAAAGACTTTATTTTCCTAGTCAGTGAAATTAGAAGACTAGATTAAACCTCCACTGTTCTTTCCAGTGCAAACAAGATCTGAATTTTATATATTGTCAAACAAATTTTATTGTATAAATGATAATGAATGTTCTCTTTGTCACCTTTCCATTCTCCACTCTTTCTAGGACACTAAGTCTGTGTACTATTGATGGCCATATAGTCTCGGTCAGTCTCACATTTCTCTAAATAGAACTCTCTTCCTTCTTTTAATAGCAGCAATTACTTTCTATCCTTTCTCTTCATGTTCCCAGTTTTCTCTCTGGTATTATCTTACTAGGTTCAAGTTCAGCTTTTGGCAGGTTATTATATTAATGTAACATGAAAAAATTCTTGCCACTTTCATGCCTTTTGTTGTTAATAGAAGTGATACAGTTTTCATGTGTGTCCCTAACAGTCACAGAATACCCTGACCCATGCCCTGCAGTCAGCCGAGCATACATGTGACCTGTTGCAAGAGCAGTACAAGGAAGAGTATGAGGCCAAGGTTGAGCTGCAAAGGGCTCTATCCAGAGACAATGCTGAAATGGTGCCATGGAGAATGAAGTATGAAAATGATGCCATCCAGAGAACAAAAGGCATGGAAGATGCCAAGTGAGTAGGCCAAGGCTGTCCTTAACCTGGAATTAGTTACATCAAGGAATATGAGAATAGTGACTATGTTTCCAAAACTTCATAGTATGCCCTTAATAAATCCTGGATTCATGCTTGAACAAGCCTGAACCCAAGGCTGAAATAGTCACACATTTTAGAGGGGCTAAGAAAAGGAAAACTGTAGTTCAAAGTCATAGTTGCCATAAAGGAGTCCTGAGGAGATAAAGGAGGCTAGTCTTGGGGGTTAAAGGGAGATTTGATAGATGTGATTTTGAGGTATGGCTTGGAAATGGCCTATCACTTAATATCCTATATTTCATTTGGGACATTGAATAATTGGATCTATGTACAAGGCACTTCAAAAAGTTTGTGGACAAATGAAATGAAAAGATAATAGAATTTTTCCATAAACTTTTTCAAGTACCCTCATATGTACTTGTCTCTATTCATTAAAGTCATCGTATTTCTGGTCTACAACTTGTAGACTACAAAGTGGCCTATGAAAGATTGACAAGGGTAGCTGGACACATGCTATGATCTGTCATTGTGCCTGAAGGGACAGAGATTGCTTTGAAAAGAAATTATCCTCAGGCCACTCCTAGGGTTAGATAACTAGTTTCATAGCTACCTCCACATAAAGCCTTTAGAATTTGTCTGTAGAAATGATAGGAGGTTGGGCTCCAGTTTAACCAAGTCTCAGTTCCAGGGTGTAGTACTGAAATATTTTTTTCTCAGAGGTGGAAGGATTGTGTATCTATCAGAGAAAGTGTCAAAACAATTCCAGTTTATAATCATTAAAGGCTTATTTGAAAGAATACATCCCTGACTTGGTAGCTTGGCAAAAATCCAGGGCAGATCAATACGCTTCTCTTTCGTTTCAACAAAAAAATATTGTTTCTCAGTTCTTCACCTAAATCTTTGAGAGGCATTGCTGTAGAGTTGCTAAACAGTCCCTGTGTTCTGTCCCAGAATGGGTACCAAGTGATCCATCTCTGTATCCACAGTAACTTAAAAAGGACTTTGGGATGACAGATACTAAAAATAACTGCTGTGTATGTTTTAAAAACTCTGGGCCACAAAAATGTGAGGCTTTGAGCAGAAAAAACTTCTTATATCCAAATATGGCATTTCCTTCTAAAGTAAAAAAATTTTTTTTTGTCTTCTAATGAGTGAAAAGTTTGAGTGAAAGTGCCTACCTGTCATTGTATTTGATAGTTTCTTTGGGGGATAAGAAATAGGGAAATAATATAGACTGCTTTATGACCGCATAGATTTGTTGGAACTAGTTCTGTACTAAATGACAACTAAAGCAAATATGGATAAACATGATAATCTCCAAGATTCTTTTTGTTTGAAAATTAGTTGAACATCAAATAAGTAAAGCTTTATCTGTTCTATAATTTCCCTCTAAATCACCTCAAGGAGATAGACAGATACAAAAATCATCTTAGGATCCTATTTTTAAAGTTAGAAAGTCGAGGCTCTGCCTACTTTAATATTCAGGCTCGGGGTCACATGATAAGTTAGTTTAGCAGGATCAAGCTCACTGGAGACTCAATTTACTACCTCTGAATTCTAAATTCCCCAAAGCTAGGGATTTGTCTTCTCCATTTCCCATATCCTCTCACATATGCTAGGCAACTAAGTAGGTGCTTGGGGAGCACAGTGTCTCCATATGATAAGCACTAGACTGTGAAACACAAGGTCCATGATTCTAGCCCACGAGCTGCTTCATGGGAGAACAATGTGGCTTTCTGCTCCTGGAAAGATTTAAAATCTAGGAAACCCTATACAGAGTCACTATGAGTTGGACCTGACTTGATGGCATTTACCAACAACAAGGAGATTATGGTTGGTAAGTTGAGGAGTGGGATAGTTGTTGGTTATTAAACTTAGAAAAATATCAGTGAGATGAGGGTGGCCAATTCATACCAGTTTGTCCAGGTTTATCACTGTTTTAGCACCAGAAATTCCACATCCCAAGGAAACCCTTCATCCCTTGACAAATAAGTACAATTGGTCACCCAAACTAACACTCACATTCTTTGCTACCTATCAAACATTTCTAAAGGAGTGAACATGTATGTAATTATTTTATAAAACTGGGTAAAGCATCAGAAACACCTTTTAAGAGTTAAGGAAAACAAAGTACAGAAGTGAAGTGAATTTGGATAGAAAACCAATGAGGAAGGAATTGTTTGTTGAGCCCGGATCCTCCTTGACTGCTGAACACAAATTGCTTTTTCAGGATTCTACCGCAGAGGCACTTTATGACCACATTGTTCTGTTGAGCTACTTGTGTGGTACGTGTTAATTCTGAGGATCTTTTACTTGTTTAATTAACAGTAGATCAGAGAGAACTTTGACAGGGACTCAGATACTTGTATACTAAAGTTCATTACAGCACTAATTACGATAGCCAAAGGTGGAAACAACCCAAATGTCCATCAACAAATGAATGGATAAACAAAATGTGGTGTATTCATACAATTGAATCAGTACAGAATTTCACAATAAGCAAAGTAAAAAGGTTTATTTGTGCTTAATTACTTACCAGTAGTGAACTTTTTACATTTTTTTCAAAAATTTTGTGTCTAGGTAAGGCTGGCATGTGTCTCTTTTCAAATTTACATTGCCTGACAGGGATGAGTACACAGTAAGCAAGGTAAGCATGGTTTTACTTGTGCTTACTTATTAATCCATACTGTCACTTACTGATGCTTACTTACTAATCACAATTAGTGGACTTCTGATGTGGTGCTGTAGGATCAGCACTGGACTGCAAACAAGGTTGGCAGTTGCAGTCCATCAACTACTGCTCAAAAACCCTAAACAGGGTTGCTATGAGTTGGAATAGACTCGATAACACTTAACAACAACAACATAGTGATTAGTAAGTAAGCACAAGTCAGTCTATGCTTGCTTTGCTTATTGGGTAGTCCACCCCTGAGTAGGATATTCTTAGCCATAAAGCAAAATAGAGTCTGTGTCATTACAATATGGACAAATGTTGAAAACATGCTGAGGAAAATAAGTCAGTCACAAAAGACAAATATTTTGTGATCCGGCTTATATGAAATATCAAGACGAGGTGAATCAAGAGAGACCAAAGTTTAAGTGGTTACTGAGGTAGGTGGGAGATGGGGATATAAGGGTAGGCATGGTTTAAAGGATACAGAATTTCTGTTAGGGTGATGGGAAATTTTGGAAATGCATAGTGGTGATGTTTGTACAATATGGTGGATGTAATATCTCTGAACTGTATACTAAAAATGGTTGGAATGACAAATGTCTCATTATATATTTCACTCCAGTAAAAATGAAAGGAAAAGCTTTGGCACATCAGTACCTTTTATCTATAATGTGTAATGAATGAGTAAGAATGGAGTTGACAGTGTCCCTGCAGGAAATGTAAGGGAAAGAATATATTTCAACTAACCAATATTCTAAGAGCACTGTATTATGTGGGAATTGGAGAGAACACTTTAATAAAGTACTCTACCCCATAGAATGCTGGAGCAATAAATGACTAGGATTAACATATCTTCTAAGAAGAGTTGTTGTTGTTATTCTTAAGTGCACTCCAGTTGGTTTCGACTCATTGAGGCCTTAAATCTGAGGCATTGTAGGAGCAGAAAGAAAGCCTCATCTTTCTTCCGCGGAGCAACTGGTGGGCTTGAATTGCATACCTTGTAGTTTGCAGTCCAATGCTTATCTTGTAGATCTACTGCACTACCTCTAAGAGCAGTTGTTTGTTGTTGTTAAGTGCTGTTGAGTCGATTCTGACCCATAGCGACCCTATATAGGGTTTCCAAGGAGCAGCTGGAGAGCTTGAACTGCCAACCTTGCAGTTCAAATGGCTTTGCAGTCTGGCGCATTAACCGCCAGCACCACACCAGGCATCCCTAAGAGTAGTGGAACCTATTAACTCAGCATAATGATGGCATGGATCTGGGTGGGTTATCAATGTGGGAGAAAGAAGTGTTGTTGTTGTTAAGTGCCATTGAGTCAGTTGACCCATAGTGACTCTATATAGGATTTCCAAGGAGTGGCTGGTGAGCTTGAACCATTGACCTTGCAGTTTCAAACAGCTTTGCAGTCTGGTGCATTAACCCACAGCACCACCTTAAGAAAAAATCAGGAGAAAGTATTGCCAGAATATTTAGTATCTGCATTTGAGGGACAGGGGATGAGCAAGAGAGCATTTCTTGGAAGCAACACAGCCAAGGAGAGGCTCTTTAGAGACAAAATGTACCTAACGATCTACTTAGACTCAAATAGGTAACTTTTAGACATGAGCTGTGCATGGATAATGACTTTTAGAAAAATCTGCATGAAGCTGGTTTCTGTGGGTTGGAGGTTAAAGAGATCCCAACTGTCTGACTTTTCTAACATATTATACTAATCCATAGTCCTCGATATCAATCACCACTCCTTCTCTCCCTCAAGTCTGAGTTCTGCAGCATGCTGCAAAGCCTCACAAAGCTCACAATAGTGAAAGGAAATGGCTCATGCAATTGTTATTGTTGTTGTTGTTGTTAAGTGCCGTCGAGTCGGTTCCGACCCATAGCGACCCTGTACAGGGTTTCTGAGGTTGTAAATCTACGGGAACAGAACTCCTCATCTTTCTCCCGCGGAGTGGCTGGTAGTTTTGAACTGCTGGCCTTAAGGTTCGCAGCCCGATTCGTAACCACTATGCTACCAGGCTGGTAAATCCCAATTCCATAGTTCAGAGATCAGTCTTGAATCTTCTCATCCAAGTAGTTTTAGCAGCAGAGGAACCCAAATTGGCAGGTCAGATGACAGGCTGTTGATGCTATGGGGGCTGATGAATTAGGTTAGGTGATGGACTGAAAGTCTTATGAACTGGAGGTCAGATGCAATGGGCCAGATGCAAGATCCAGGACAAGAGAGCAACCTTTTCCAAAGCAGTGCTATAAATTGGAGTCAGATCATGTCCCCAAGGTAAACTAAGGGTAGTAACTTGAGTCAAACCCTCT